GCACTGAGATTTTTGTGAAACTTTACCTATTGATTGTTTATATTATAGGAACTTAAATTTTGAAATAAAAATGAGGGGTCCCCATGTTCGTTTAGGATTAACAGCACCTTGTTTATACCCATATAAATCCTTATAATAGCACCATGATTGTAGTCACGATTGCTTGCTAAATTCACGTTTCCGACGATTGCTTTTTGTTCTGCACTGAGAATTTGTCCATATTTATTTTACAGAGAGAAATTTATTACTCAATTCAAAACAACAGAAGAAAATTATAGGTCATCATACTCGTTTGCGAGAAAATGACGATTTACCTCTATGGCGAGGTCCAGCCGTAAAGAAAAAGCCGCCATTTTTTAATGCGCGCGCGCTAATCACGCGTGAAATTATGCGCAGTAGGGATGCCCAATGCAATACTGGGGAATGACCTTAAGTTTTTTCCATAATTTATGAGTCTAGAACGAGCAAGCCTTTAGGTACGTTTTCACTCGCTTCTGACGCCTTTCACAGTCTAAGATTCAGGAAGACAGGCTAAGACAGGAAATCCATTACGTTTGTCACAAGTCAGAAAAAAGTCAGTGAAAACATCTTCAAAGTCGAGGGAAGAGTTTGTCTCCATTTTCATTGCTCTCTCGAGTCCTATCCGGTTTCGTGCCACTTTTCCCGAACACCAACTGGAATTGAGCCTAAGCTAGAGTCAGGGAATTAAGTGTCTACCGAGGGAAATTTTAAATTTCTTGTTAGAGTCCACAACAGTCATTTCAAGGTTTCTGTAGGTTACTATGAACTTTTGATAAAAAGCGTTCTTTTCTGTCAGGATAAAATAATCCGCAAGGGGGCAACCTTGGGCTTTTTTCATCGGAATAACCAATTTATAGTTCGGTGCTTAACCGATTTTTGAGCAGAACCGAGGTTGTTATCAATGATATTAATCTTGCTGCGTTTGAAATGTAAATTCTTTTATTGTCATGCTCAAGTAGTTTGTTATCTCTTTCATCACAAAGTCAACCCTCGATCACATTTTATAGAACTGTTTTATGGTCTATTGCACACACCCCAGTGGCACAAAACGTCCGGCTTAAAAGGAGTCTTCTGCAGAATGTTGTAATGTCCAACACTTGTTTTGCTTCATGTTGCGTACTGATTTTCAGGTGGAACTCAAACGGAAATACAACACGCAGTATTCAGCCAGTCGAGGACTGCTGACGGGCAGTGAGTGGTATGAGATCCAGGCCTACCGTGCATTAAATCAGGTCAGACTCGCTACAGTGCTCTTCGAGTAATTCCGTTTAATTTTCAAAATTGTAGTTATGACAATGAAATCCAAGCGATAATGGACCTTTTGTTTTATAGCTAACTTTAATTGCTTGTTATTTTCCTTTTAACACCTCTTTTTTTTCTTTATTCATGTTCACAGGCTTTGGGAAGGTGTATTCGTCACAAGTAAGTTCATCTTGGTAAAAACGAAAGAGAATTTCAAAAAACTATATAATAAACTCACGTAACGTGGTTATTATTCGAAGAACACCGTGCATTTAAACTTGGTTTTGGAGCGCATATTTCTATATTTGTAGGGGTGGAAGGAGTATTAATGCACTCTTGGTTTACTCATTACCTAAACGTGATGCAAGAACTGCCAAGCAGACTCAGAGCTTTTTGATGTGCGAGGTTGTGCTTTATGATCCTGCTGTCAGACAATCAAAGTAAACATAAGCATGTTACGAGAAAGTTGGGGTTAAAACTTAAAAAATGTTCAGATGTTCAGCAAAAAAAATATTAAACTTTTACTCGGTCAAAATCAAGTGGGCGAGTGGGCGAATTACTTATTACCATCCCCGCGGTACGGCGAGTATTAAATAGCCGGAATTTAAAATACTGTACACCAATATCCAAGAGGAGGGGGTTATGGCTCGAGATAACCGAGTTGTAGTTAGACCGCAGTCAATAAAAACAGTTAACAAATCTAAGGGAAATAACGGCTTTTGTCCAAGGTTAGGTTTTCAGCCTTGCCTTTCGAGGTCAATCAGGCTCCAACCAAAGGGAAATTTTGAGAGAACCTAAACCACGAAGGTGGAATGTGGTATACGCGTTTTTTCTCATGCTTGTTTCTTCTCAAGGCTTCGCTCCCAGCTCAGGTTGACGTCGTTGTTGCGCTTTTTACAGCTACACTTATTTGCTAGGCGCTTCAGTATACCTTTAGGTGGGCTTTTGCTTTGATGCCTCATCAAAGTGAATAACTCTTTTGTTTTTCACAGACAAGACTGGGGAGCCATTGTTCTAATAGATGAACGGTTTAACAAGTCTCCAAGGTACATCAACGGTAAGGAGCTGTTATGTGAGTCCGAACGTTGAAGAATTTGCTCGCGGGTAGCGGCCGTTTTTGACCCTATTTCGGCCCTAAAAGCTAGTTACATAAACTCCCTTGCTAAAATATGGAATTAAAACGAAAAAAGAGCTGTCCATATGTGAATATACACGTTTTCAATTGTCAGTCTTCAACGTATCGTCTTTAAAATCACCATAAACCACCAATCCAGTATACCACTATAAACAACGTTTGAACACATGTTCTCCTAATGCAAAAAACTCAGATGCTCTAGGGTCAAAGCCCGCGCCCAAATCCCGCCACAGCCAAATGAATGCCCCATAATAAGAACCTTATGCATATGGATTATGAACTTGGTTACGGCTTAATTGGGAAAAAGTGCTGTAACAATTTTCGCCTGTATGGTTAGCATGTTTGGTAGTTTTCACTAAACATACCTTTTGATCTGATTAACCAGGGATATCCAAATGGGTGCGCAAGAGAATTACACAGTACAACAACTTCTCCGCGGCCATGTCTTCCCTGAAAGAATTCGCATCTGCACGTAAAAGAGAACCGTGTCCCGCCAATACCAGCCCCTGTTCTGTTAGCCAACTGAGCAGAAGTTCTGTGGAGACTCCAGTCAAGGAACAGAACGTTCATGCTGATGTAAAGCCATCTGTAGAGCACACTTCACTGCTTGACAACCGCGGAAACCAAACTAGAGGGGTTGCACTGGAACAGAACGTTCACGCTGATATTAAGCCATTTGTAGAACACACTCCACTACCCGACAACCGAGGAAACCAAACTGGCGGGGTTACACTGGAACAGAACGTTCATGCAGATGTTAAGTCATTTGAAGAACACGCCCGACTACCTGACAACCAAGAAAACCAAACTGGCAGGGTTACTCTGGAACAGAGCGATCTTTGTGCAACTCCTTGTCAGTGCAGTGATGCAAGACCTTCTGTAGAGGCTACTAACGCTCATGGAAACCTAGCCGTTGGGTTTACAGTAGACCACAGCGGCAACTGTGCAACTCCTCCTCAAAGTACCGATAGTAAACCATCTGTAGAGTCCCAACATGTAGGTAAGGTCCAAGGAAACCCAGGTGATGGGTTTACACTGGAACACAGCGTTCATTCTACCACTCCCTTTCAACGTATTATACTATCTGCCAAGCAGCGTTCACTTAGCAACATGCAAGGAAACCAGACTTCAGGTTTTACCCCTTCTTCTAATTTAATCCAATCAGCTTTCTCTGGCGTCACTTCTAAAGGTCTGTCTTTCAATGCAGAGAGAGTGGCATCGAAACTTGATAAATTTAAACGGAAAAACGTTGATGTCGACGGGAGTGAGAGGAAGGTTTTCAATGGAATGACTTTGGTACTTGACTTTAAACCCGTAAATGGCGAGAATTTCGTTACGGTTAAATCTAACGAGTTGAAAGTGGATGGGAAAATGGAGAGTCAAGAATCTGATAGTGCATTGAAGAAGAAACCTGAAAGCGACCCACTCGCTAGGGAACAGATGTCCTCTCCTCTTCTCTTTGCCACTCCTCAGTCCACTCCTTCACCTTCACCTGTCAAACAGGAAATGAACTGGATGACACCCAGGGAGGGTGAGGAGAGGACAAGTTTAAACTCGTCAAACTTGAATCTCGGCGCCGAGGAACCAAACGCAATTAAAAATGTAGGAAATGGAGAAGGTAGTCTTGGTAATTGTTCGATTACTTTGTCAAAGAAAGGCGGTGATTTTGGTAAATCCTCATTGCTGGAAAACACAGGGGTTCAAGGCTTCGTCGCAGTAGAAAAGCTGTTAAAGTCAAAAGAAGCTGATGCGAATGCTCCAGGTCACGGAGGGGATGGTAACGAGTTAAACTCAGAGAAAAAGCCTCGTGATATCCTTGATGACGTAAAAGACGACTTTTCTCATGAAAAGGCAGGATTAGAAAATCGCTTGCAAACGAAGGCGCCGCATGTTGATCGTAATACTGAGTCGAAAGAAACTGTGAAGGAAGGTGTACTGAATTTATCGTCGTCTTCAAGGAGAAGCGAGCGTCCCTGTAATAGCGTGTCTGAGATGCCGAGCAATGTTCGACTTGGTCGGAGAAGAAGCACAAGGCTTAGAAGATTTTCAAACAGCAGTAAAAGCACGAGGGAGGAAGAGAAAGTAGCATCTGAGGTAAGAGTTTCATCCTTTCGATCTGGCAGGCCCACCAACCCGGATCAAAAACTATTTCAAAACTTAAGACTGCAAGATGAGCAAAACAATGAGTTGAAAGCATGGGCAATTAATATTTTAGCGGGGGCAACTGAAAATTGAAATTTACTAGCCCACTGGCTGCCCGGATAAGGTACGACTTTGACCCTCTCTGTCTTGGCGGTCCTGCCTTCAGCGTGGAACAAAACTTACACAAGCCCATTTATTGCATTAAAAATATAGGAATTTTTTGAAGTTACACTTCAAAGTCCTACGTGGGGTAAACTGTTATCCACATTGCCTGTAGCACATTAGCCTTATACTGACATTAGTGTCTTTCGGTTCAGGAAAAACCCAAAGATGAAAGTGACAAACCTGTGCTGTATTGTGCCCGTTGTGGTGGCAGCCTTGTCACAGGTGAGGTAGCTATGCTGCTTTCTGCTAGAGAGAATCAATTGCACTCTACCCAAATCTCTGACAGAGTGCGACTTCTCTCCAGTCGGAGTTTTCCGGATCTGTCAGTGCATTAAGGTCATATAACCCTCCGTCATAATTTCGTATCTAGCGTGTCTCTTTTTGGGGGCAGATTTTAACTGATTGCCGTTGGAGCAAAATCAAAGCATGGACAGTAAGCTAAAAAAAAAAAAAAATGAAATTCGGCTTTTCTCAATTACTCAACTCCACGCTCCTTTAGATTTCTTACTGCAATTTCTTTTTGAACTCCTGGCGAGAAAAAATAATTTTTTTGTGTTGTTTTCTTTTTCTCTAAGAATCGACTGAGCCCTTTTTCAGCGACATTACGAAGCAACTCCACGTATCCTTATACACTATTTACGTGAAAAATTTCCAAGTGCTCGAGCTAGTCTTTGGTTACAGAATACAATCAAATGTACTCCAATCTTATTATCCTCGCCGTAATAAATTAAGCAGTAACTATTAAAACATGATTCTCTTCGATGTTTTCTTACCCTCAATGCTGCTATATGATATATTGACCAGGTTCTTTTCGTCCGAGCAGGTTCCTTCGCTTCTAACTCCTTCACAAGGCATATTCCTGACGTATTGCAGAGTTCCTTTCAACAGACAGTCGACGAGAAAAACGTTCTTGTTATCGACAAAGAGACTTGTACAATGTCAAACCTAAGTTCTTTGATTGACGCGAAGAACGATCACTCTCCAGGTAACAACTCCTTCGTTGACTTAAACTTTAGTTAAACTACAAGAGTTAAACGGTGTTATCAAATATTATATGTGGCTGGGTTGCCAAGTCGTTTAGGGGCTCTGAATTTGAAGTGTGGTTCAAATTCTCTCCCCTGCCACTACATGTATCTGGATTTGTTCTAGGGCGTCTTGGGTGCAAATCATCCTCCGCGCTTTGCAAATAGTCCTATAATGGGCAAGTTAAACCTCCTACATTCCGGGATTCTGAGCAAGTTGATCTTCAATTATCAGTGTTTGTTCTTTCATTTTCGTGATTGTCGTATTATGAAGGTGTCCGTCCGCATTATAGAGTTAGAAGTAACAGGAATTCTGCTTTCTCTGCGACTAAATGAACTGTCAGGCGTCCGTAAGGAGAGGTCCGACTGTGGTAAACTGTTAAACTTCTCAATGCTGGATTCCTAAAAAGTTTAAGTTCAGTTTTCAGTTTTAGTGTTCGTTCACTTTCGTGTCTACAATGAAAAGAGTAGTGCTCTGACCCCATAATACCATAATTTTATTTGTTTTGTAGCTCGTTTGTTTGTTTATATGTTTATATAATTTTTTTTTTTTTTTTTTTTTTCATTATTAGTATAGACATAGACAATCACATAGTTTATTTTGCTTGGTTGCACGCTTAGCACCTCTTGACAAATCAAGTTTGTACCGAATTGATTGTAGGTATGAAACTAAATAGTCTCTTTGTACCGGAGTGCGGCAGCTGCTACATTCCCCTGGTCTGCCGAGTGTGTCAGACTACGAAAGGAGATTCACGGATCGTGGGATTAGAAGTGGTGTCGTTCGGATCATTCTCTGAGCAACAACAATGTCAACCGCATCCTCTAAAACAGGTGGTGTGCTGTGCTATGTAATTTATAAATAGTATAACAAATATCAGTCTCGGAAAGTTTTTTTTGATGAAACATTATGTGAAGTACCCAACGGTATAAGTAATCCTGCCTTCAGTGGAGTCTTGAGTATTCTGTATTTTGTCCCTTCTTACCTAAACAAATTTTCCATGTGATTCTGAGGGAAACGAGTGCTTGAATAACCACTTATTATCCGAGAGTGAGGTCTTTACGGGAAAATCTCAGACCGAGACCTTGCCGTATTGACCGAGCGATAGCGAGGCCAATACGGCAAGGGCGAGGTTTGAGATTTTTCCGTAAAGACCGCACGTTGGAGGTTAATAAGTTGTTTATTTTATTTGGCTTTTTGCTTTGTTTTTGCAGGCCCGTATTCAGCCTGTAGGCATTACCCGAGAATAATGCCCTAGAATTAGCCAATCAGAGCGCGCGTTGTATCGGCTACAAAAACAAGCGTAAAGCCATATAATAATACTGCTTAATGGTCCTTGAATTTCCCTTGAAAAAGAGACCTGACTTAGGTATGAACCATGACTGAACTAGTTTTGATGAATCCGACTTTCCGCATCAAGGAGTCCCTCCTGTTGATGGTTAAATTTGTCTTATACTGGTATTCTGAGTTGAAACAGCTTCCAATCGTGATCACTGACGCTTATTGTTTTCTTTCATCTTTGCTCGACAGGTTTGGTTTTTTCCAGGTCTCGTCAATGTTCACTCACCAGCTAGCGAGTGATCCGAAGTCAAAGAGGGGCTGGTGTATTTCAGCAGTGCGACTAGGCTTTTCTCAATGAATAGTGAATAAAATGATTTCATATTTCTTAAAAACATGCGATGGTTACTCCAGTCGACCATCTCATCAGTCAGTCACTTTATCACCAGCTAATGATGAAGTGAAGTCTGCAACAGGTCTAAGTCTGCGCTTCATTTTGCATGATAACTTGTAGGTGGTTTTGTAAGTAGTAGCGTCTGCTAAGCCACACTTCGCCTCTACCCGTTTATACTCAAGCTCCTGGGTAAAGAGAGGTCCTGTTCGAATAAAGTTCCTGTCAGAGAGAACAACTCCTCAATCCCGGTCAGGGCTTGTACCCAGAACTGTCGAATCGGCGTCCAGGGCACTGAATGACCATTAGCAGCCACACCTCATTATTATGGCCTTCCTGTTATTTCTGTTCATCTTAACAGTGTCAAACCCCTTATTGGTAAATTTCATTCGAGGCTGTGTTTGTATTTTAGCAATGTCATGATATACTATAGAAGAAGAGGTGAAAGAGGGAGGGGAAACTAGTTGCTACCTTCCCTGAGTGTTTGTTTGCCCCCACTCTCCCTTGGTCACCCAGAATTATTGTTTCTGAATTGGTTATATCCAGGTTATAATCATAAGTGTTGGTGGGTTTAGCAATATTGTACAAATGAGCAAGCAAATATTGCAAAAACGTGCAACATCATATCTGCATCTGAATTATACATTGATATAGAATTTGCCTTGCACGAATTCATCCATCCATCGATCGATCTAAATATGGACATTATTTTGTCTTTGATATCGAAGTTATTTTTTATCCAATGATCAATTTTCTTGTTAAATCTTTTCCGTTAACCCAAGCTTAAGGTGGCTGAACACAGTTTTTGATACCTGTGTTTCATTTACTTTTTTCTCTCAAACCCTTGATCCCTCGGTCGTCCAAAATGGCAGCAAGCAAGTTAACAACACAGACGTTGGTTTTTTGATGGTTAAGCTGACATATATGCCGTTTCCATGGCAACATGAGTAAATATAAACAGGCCTTTAAAATCGGAAGTGTTTATTTGTAACGATTCTCACAAGGTAACACCATTTTGCTAATAATTTAACAGAGATCTTTAATTATCCCTTGTTGAAGGTTCACTGGAATATCTAGAATTTCCTTTGTTAAAGTTAATTCTTTTCAGTAGTCCAGTTACTTATTTCCTAATTATAAAGTATTTTTGTGCCAAATTTCGTGAAGTTCTAATGAGTGGTTCTGGAGAAATAGGCGTATTTCCGAGAGAGCAATTTCAGTCAATCGCAATTTTTTAACTTACTGCGCATGCGCTGCATTTAACTGGGTTCTTTCGGTAACAAAGAAAAAGCTGAGAATTGCTGGGTTCTTTGCATCGTTACCTTTTCTAACATATCGTAATAACAGACTAAAGCCATCAATACACTGCGTTCCATTATAGAGAAAAATAGCACAGATAGTGCGGGTGTTTAGTAAATAAAATGATCGCTCTATTGACGGCATGTTTGTTTTTTGGGGTTTTTTTGCAATCCTTGTACGCGCGCTGAATTGCATCAGCAAAGGCGCGCGCGAAAACTGTGTTCGGCCACCTTAAAATAGACTTGTATGTTAATTGTACGGCAATTGCAAGGAATGTCATCCCTCATTCCCAAGCATCATGCCAAGCAATTGTTTTCCTGGTTGTGCGCACAAAGCTCCTTGTTGGCGCGTCGTTAAAAAAACTGTAGCCATTAGCCTTGTACGCAGGCCGTTTTACTGTGAAACTGTAACGCAGCAAGGGCTTTACATGCAATTGTTATGTTGGGAATGGAAACTATGTGGGAGGGAGTGGCGCAGAAATTCTTCCTTAAGGGTGACAAACCTATGCGTTGAGCAATGTTTAAACACATCCACTGCTTTACTTCGAAAAAGTGATATCCTTAATTCAAGCCCAAGGGTTGTACCCTTTGTTACTGTTTCTGAATTCTCTATAGGTCAGTTATTCACGCTTAAAAGTACTACTTTTACGTAAATTATTAACTTCAAATCGATGAAAAACAACGTCAAACAATATCTCATATTGTAAGCCACTGCAAAAAGAGTTCTCGTAGAAATAGATCAAGGTAATCGTGAGCAGTCGGGGCCACTTTGAAAGCCGGCGATGCAACCTACCATACTCGCAAACGCTGTAAGAGCCGGTGAGAGAACTGGAGTTTCATTAAATTCAGTAACTCATTCATGAATTTTCCTGTTGCCACGTTTCCTCCAATGGCGCAACTCCGTACTCCGCTTTATAAACACATACAACCCACAATCTTCTACTTTGCGAGGTGAACGCTCGTAACGTCTGCTCCACATACTCCCTACGGCGGTAAATTTACCTTTATCAACTTTATCAACAGCGCCTGAAAGCCTAACTTGATTTCCAAAGCTCCCGGCCTCGAGTACAGTCCCGAATTCCCGAACAGCATGCGCAGCTGTCAAACTTAGTGAACGCTTGGAGCCAAAGGCGATGCAGGAGTAGTAATTAAGTGGTTGTTCCTTGAATCAGAACGATGCTTATTGATCTTGAGGGGTGGCGGTGGAGGGGTAACCCAAAAACGCTGACCCCCGGTCCGCGGACACCCACTACGGACCGGGGTCCGCGGACTACCTATGGCCGGTCCACGGACCTACCCTTACGGACCCCCTCTACGGACCACCCCGCAAAATAGAATAAAAATAAGAAATAAATATTTCAGTTATCGGTTGTCTAATAGATCGTGTCAGCGAAATTTCGAACATTACATTTTGCAAATGTAACATTCTTGGGTTCACTGGCTCGGGCGCAAGTTATATCATTACACATTGCCATTTCCTTTGCTGTGGCCATACTGTATATGAAAGACCGTGAAAGCCTCCAGGAAGCCTCCGGGAAGCTTCGAAATTTGTGCTCTTTCCCCTCCACCGTTTTGTTCAGCCCACTCTCACAAGCATTCGTGAACTCGTTCCAGGCTTCATAATTTGCTCAGCGCAATTAGATGTAAACAATCTTGAACGACTTAAAAACACATCTTTCATAGCCAGATTGAGCCACGAATGGAAAGTAACAATTTTCCTTCTTTTTGCCATCGGCATCTCCTGACGCAAATTCTTGTTTTTCGGCCATTTAAATTTCAGCTTTGAGGCTTTTTTTAGGGGGGTGTTAATTACATTTGCACGGTATAATACTCGAAATTTCACCAACACAAGTAATCTACTAGACAACCCATAAGTGAAGTATTTATTTCTTTTTTTTTATTCTATTTTGGGGGGTGGTCCGTAGAGGGGCTCCGTAGGGGTAGTCCGTGGATCGGTCTATAGGTAGTCCGCGGACCCGGTCCGTAGTGGGGGTCCGCGGACCGGGGGTCAGTGTTTTCGAGTTACCCGCGGTGGAGGGGAATATAGGTGCAAAGATTTCGTTAGGAAAGTTCTTTTTGGTAACGACAGCAATATTAAGTTTCAACATTTATTCCAGGTGAATCTTACGCAGAGGTAGGCATTCTTCGATTTCACGTTATTGTCTTCGCAATAACATGACTGATACAGCGGTTGCTTCTGTTTAACATTGATCAATTTAATGATGGCAAAAATCAAGGTAGCGTGATAACTAAAGCGTGAAAACGGAATTGAAAGGAGGAAAACCGTTGTATTGTGAAATACAAACAGATTGGGGTTAACTTTTCCTTTTCAACATCGTTAACAAGCAACCCTATGTGTACCAGAGGGAGTTTCAAGCTTTGACCAATCAAAACAAACAACGTCCTATTCATAGCGCGTCTTCGGAAAAAAAAAACTAACTTTCCTTCGAAATGTATCAGATCTCCTTTTATAATGGTAAAGGTTGGGTAAGAATGTCTACAAAATGGATGGGTTTGCTTGAACATGATTAAAAGAAAATTCTATTTGGAAACGAGCAATATCAAGTTTTAACATTTATTCAAAGATGCACTTCATTTCACATTATGAGATACAGTACACCACCCACTTAAAATATAAATAGCACACTTTTTAAGATTAAATACATGTCCAGATCTTATCTATACACATGTTTAAGACGAAATCCGATAGGTGATCGAGTGATTTTGTTTACTGTGGACAAAAACCTTGTACCAGAATAATTTTAAGTATATTAAAAACAATTTTGCATTTTTTAAATGCTAAAGATATAAACAGTAGCATGAAATGACACCAAAGACAATTCCCATCGAATCTCGAGAAAATAAATTTTAAAAATCAGAGAAATTGTGCAACCACAGGTAAAATTTCAACATCAGTTTCATTTCACCAGTACGTTTAAGTGTTTCTTATGAACTTCACAATTTGTTTTCGACATTTGGTGTTGTTAGAAATGATTTTTTTTAGAAGATATTTAAAGCAGTGGTACAGAAGTTTGCAATACGATGTAAATAATCTTCGTACAAAGATTTTGTCCAGTTGTTACTCGAACTTCTGGTGGATTCCCTCTTAAACTCCTTCATGGGGCTTGTCGTTAATTTTCTTAAATTAAGAAGTCATGAGGAAAATTGCAGTTGGACTATGATAAAAATTGCAGTAAAAAATACAATAAGATCTACAATAAACCGTTACAAGAACAAATTTACAGCTTTGACCAACTACTCTATGTAGTCATTCAGCTAATTCCGCACCTCAAGACAGTCGTCAGTCGATCAAGTGATTAGAATAAGGAAAGTCATCAGTTGTTTATCTCTCATTAATTAACATCAAACTTTTAAAACTTGAGCTTTGTGCCCGTTATAGAAATTGATAAAGAAACACTCATTGTTGAGACGGGAACAAGACACTCGGCTTTCTGGCATACTTTTCGGTTTCGCCCGCACGCTATTACATGTATTGGGGAAGGCCCCTCTCCTATTTTGGGTAAAAAAAAATCGCAGAAGGAAGAAAAGCCGGCAGGCCAAGCAAAAAATCCGCCCCCCACCCCCCTCCCCGTTAGCTCAAGGTCTGGATCCACCACAGAACTTGTAAACCAGGTACAAGTTCACAAAAGGAAAATCAGACAAATTTATGGTAAATTCAATACACAACTGGTGCTTTTTGGTACAGCTACATCCCTCAA